AGCTTCTTACCTGTGAGCCTTCCTGCTGGCCCCCTGTCAGCTTCTTATAGTTGATGAAGTGTTTTATCCTTCACCTCACAGTTCTCCTCTTTTCTGTGTTTTTCTATCTCAAATATTTTTCTACAGCTAGTGAGTATGTTGTATTTTTGGCTAATATTCACTTATCAGTGAGTATATAGCATGTGTGTTCTTTTGTGTCTGGTTTACCTCACTCAGATTGATATTTTCTAGTTCCATCCATTTCCTTGTGAACTTTGTGAAGTCATTGTTTTTAATAGCTGAGTCGTACTCCATTGTGTAACTGTATCATGTTTTCTGTATCTATTCGAGGGACATTTGGGATGTTTCCAGCTTCTGGAAATGTAAATAAGGCTGCTATGAACATAGTGGAACATTGTCCTTGTTATATGTTGGAGCATCTTTTGGATTGTCCTTGTTATATGTTGGAGCATCTTTTGGGTATATGTAGCACCCATTTTCTCTTCCCACCTTTACATAGGTTGTAGGGCTTGAACTCAAGTCTCGAGGCTTTCATAGCGAGCTCCTTACCTGCCCCGTCCAAGCCCCCTCCCTGGTTGTCTCACCAGCTCCATTACTGTTCTTTAGAAATCATGTAAGTGGTTGAGGAGATGGCTTAGTGGGTCAGAATACTTGCTGCAAGTATGAGGATCTGAGTTCAAATCCTCATAAACCAAGTAAAACGCCTTGCTTGGTCACGTATGTACTCACCATGTTCACTGGGGTGGGGATGGGAGGATCCCAGGCTTGCTGGCATACCTCCAAGTTCAGTGAGACCCTGACTCAAGGGACTAAGGCAGAGAGTGATAGAGCAGGACATCAACATCGTCCTGCACACACTTGTTTGTTCGTTTTTGAAATGAAAAGTTTCGTTTCTTCTTGGACCCATCTTACTGTGCTAGACTAGCTTTAAACTTAACAGAGACTCATCTGCCTACGTCTCCCAAGTGCTGGGGTTAAAGGTGTGCACTACTATACTTGGCCTCCAGTTTTTCTTTTCTTTTCTTTTCTTTTCTTTTCTTTTCTTTTCTTTTCTTTTCTTTTCTTTTCTTTTCTTTTCTTTTCTTTCTTTCTTTCCTTCTTTCTTTCTTTCTTTCTTTCTTTCTTTCTTTCTCTCTTTTTTTTTTTTTTTGGTTTTTGGAGACAGGGTTTCTCTGTGTAGCCCTGGCTGTCCTGGAACTCACCCTGTAGACCAGGCCGGCCTCGAACTCAGAAATCTGCCTGCCTCTGCCTCCCAAGTGCTGGGATTAAAGGCGTTCGCCACCACAGCCTGGCCAGTTTTTCTTTTTATTGAATACTTATGAAGGTTTAAAATAAAATATTAGATTGTAGTACAGAATCATTTATATAAAAGCTTGATGCTATGTAGCCCAGGCTTGCCTTGAATGTAGAAAGCTCTTCTCTTAGCCTCCCAGTGCTGGGATTATAGACACACTGCTGTGCCTAGTTTCCACCTTGTATTATATTCTTATAGCACTTCTAAATTGGTATGAATCACACTTCAACTGCTTATTTAAGTATATGTGGCTACTGGCTACTTCTTGCAATATCTTAGCCCTATGTAATTTCTAGGAATACTTGAAGTGTGACTTAGAACTGGACCAGTAGCATACAATTTCAGTGATTAACAATGTCTAATAAATGATTTATATTTTTAGGAAGTGTTTTGCTTATACACTATTTCCTGTTTTTACAGTTAAATGATAGCATTCCTTATTAGGAAAGTATGATGGAAAGTTCTTTAGAAATGATGGTATTTTCAGTGAGTTATTGAGATCAGCAGCCTTTCTCATGCAGCAGTCCATTCATTTTCTTCCTCTAGATATCAACAAGTTTCTCTGGATGGTCCGGATCGGAGGAAGCACAGAGACAGGAAGACACATCAAGGAGAATGACTACTATACTCCAACTGGGGAATTCCGTGTTGATCGGGAGGGCTCTCCAGTGCTGCTCAATTGCCTTATGTACAAAATGTGTTACTACCGGTTTGGGCAGGTCTACACAGAAGCCAGTGAGTGTGATTCCTAATGCTAACAGCAGTAGTGATAGCTGACACAGACTGCACTTGCCAGGCTCCGTGCTTCATCTTTTTAACTCATTCAGTCCTCACAGCAACCCAGAAGAGAATTTAAACTAACCTTAATGTCATTTTATATATGAGGACGTTGAGCCCTCAGGTTACCGAACTAGCTAATATCATGTGATACTTAGAATTCAAACTCAGTCTGAATTTAAGTTCTGTCCTTTAAAACATCTTAATTGTGTGTTTATCAACAAGGAATATCATAGTGTGAGAAAGAATAAAGGAAAAGCAGTGCTGTTTTACTCTTTAGAATACATTGAGAAGGATTTGCTGAGGTTAAATCCTGTCTTTCAGTTTTGTTTCTGCATCAGGGAAAACTTTTGCAGTATGTACAAGTCTTAGCCTCACGATACATGGAAGGGTTACTAGTGTTAGATCTCTGGATTACAGTCCTGAGGAGCAGAGAGCCTTGAACGTCATCTTGTAGACTTGGAAGACATAAGCTAGGTGACCCTGCCACGAATCACACTGGACAGGACTTGCGTAGGTAGCACTTGATTTGCCGTTTCTGTCTGATTCTTGCAGACTCTAGTCAGAGTGCAGGCTGGGACCCAACAGTCAGTGTTTCCCTAGTGATCACAGCTTCCCATCTCTTCAGGAAATCAGCATGCGTAATTGAGGGTTTCTCTCTTGTTGCTTCTAGAGCGTCCACCAGGCTTTGACCGTGTTCGAAATGCTGAGATTGGTAATAAAGACTTTGAGCTTGATGTCCTGGAGGAAGCATATACCACAGAGCATTGGCTGGTCAGGATATACAAGGTGAGGGATGCCGCGTCTCAGAAGGTGCTCTCATGCCTACAGCTTTCTTCTAGTCATCAATTTTCCAAATAGGGACATTTTTAATGAATAGCACCTGGTTTCAAAGTAGCTTGTAAGTCACTTGAAGTGTTATTTATTTATTTATTTATTTATTTATTTATTTTGTGTGTGTTTGTGTGTTTGTGTGTGTTTTCAACTTTGTGGAGTTGATTCTCTTTAGCTTTGTATAGGCTCTAGAGATTGAATTCAGGTCATCAGGCACTTTTATCTGCTAAGCCAGCTGTCTAGACCAAAATATTACTAATTATATTTTTTGATTATTCTTTAGAGAAGACATCCCAGTTGGTGGTTGTTATTGAAATATTTTTCTTTTTAAAAAGAAAAACACTTTTTTTTTTAACTACATTTTTATATGGGGGTTAGGGGAGAGGCATACAAATGTATGCCATGTATGAAGTCAGAGTACAGCTTGTGTGGATCAATTCTTTCATTGTGATGGGTCCTGGAGATCAAAATCAAGTGCCCTTACTCACTGAACCATCTTGCCAGACTAGCTAGTCCTTTTTCATAGTTTTGGGGGTAAGGTCTCAGGCTGCCATTTGCATTTGTAGAACCAGAGCTAGTCCTTGAGTTTGCTGGTAGGAAAGTTGGCTTTGAAGTCAGACCCCATTTCTTTAGCCTTTGGTATGGTAGCATTACAGATGTGGTCACCGTGATTGTTGCAGCAATGCTGTTCCAGGTAGGGATTGGAATAGCTTGGGGATTACTGGAAATGCATGTGTTTGTGGTTTTGAACCGCATTTTTTTTTAACAGCATTTTTTTAAAAAAAGATTTATTTATTTTATGTATATGAGTACACTGTACCTGTCTTCATAAATGTCAGAAGAAGATCCCATTACAGATGGTTATGAGCCACCATGTGGTTACTGGGAATTGAACTCAGGACCTCTGGAAGAGCAGTCAGTGCTCTTAACCACTGAGCCATCTCTCCAGCCCCAAACTACGTTGTCTTTTTGCTGAATTTATGATGCATAATCACATGATGTCATGTAGGAGTGTGTCACACCTCTTATATGAGAAAAGATTGAACCAGATACGGTGTACATGTCTGGAGAAGCGGAGGCAGGGGGATTGAGGCAAGCCTAGGCTACATACATAGCAAAACTGTGTCAAATAACAGTGAGAAAAAAAGAAAAAAGAATGATTGAGGACTTTTGGTCAGTGACAGAGTTAGTTCATCCTGGTTCTGGGAGGTTCCTAGAAGGCTGGATTGACAGGAGGTAGGCTTTATCTCATGCCTGTGCACTCACACCTACACAGGGAATAGTGCAGTCCTTTCTGCGTATGCTTGTAGATCTTTCCAAAGTTGACCTCCTGGTAAATGCTAAAGTGATGTCTTTATGTTGCAGGTAAAGGACCTGGATAATCGAGGTTTGTCAAGGACATAAGTGTCACAGTGTGCCCTGACACGCTTCGCACTGAGTGCTTCAGTTGAGGACGCTGAAGAATTTTTTTTTTTATATGCAGTTTATAAGAACAGCCGGATGGGATTAGAATTGTCTGGAAGTTTTGCCCTGGACAGTATGGGCTGGGCCAAGTGAAATGATTTTTATAATTCTGAGCAGGTTACCAAATGAAATGTTATGGCTTTACTTTGGTCAATTAAAAGGGGGGGGATTTTTTTTTTAAATGTGCCTTATTTGTTTTGACTTAAATTGGCTGATACAAGGAGCACAGAAGTGAACGGATGGAAGACCGTATCCATGCTCTAGGTCCCTAAATGAACTAAACAGAAGCATTCTTTCTCCTATCAGCAAACTCAAGGACTAGCTCTGGTTCTACAAATGCAAACAACTGTGTCACACTTTTTCGTTTCTTAGCACCCAGGTACAAGTCTTTCCATATAATGGGTGCTTAATACATTTTTATCAAATGAATAAATGTTTCTGGGACCAGAGGAGTACTGTTTCTGGGCAAGAAAGACAGCTTTCTTGCTGTTATGTCTATGTTTTCGATGTCTATTTCTTTAGAAGCTCTTTGGCTTTATAAGGACAGAAAATTGCTGGGTATTCCTGATCTCTCCAGTATCCTTTCAAACTAATGACAGTTATTTTTCAAAGCAGAAATGTGAACCAAAAGTGACTAGTCCAGTAGTTCTTAAGACTCAGTGAAACATATCAATCTTAGAGGAAGGTTGATGATCAGTAGAGGTTTCTGGAATCAGATGTAATTATGTATGAAATTTAGGTATTCAATACTTCACTAAACTAAAACACAGTAAATGGCTCTTTGCTCATTTCCTTTAGACTGCACTAAATCTCTTAGGGTTATCCACCGTGAACTTCTGTTTTTCTTAGTGTTAGTCCGCTGTGTTCATATACCACTTGAGGCTTGATTACTTGGTTTTGAATCCCTTGCTAAATATATACTTAGGAAGTGGGAAGTACTGCTACGAGCGGGTACTTTGATATCGTTGCCAGTCTGACTGCAAGAAGAGACTTTAAAAATGTTTTAACTTCAAAGCACAGAGATCCCATAGATATTTTGTGTCAAGATAAATAGCTTTCTGTTCTGTACAATAGGATATTTCATGTATTTTACAACATAGGACATAATCACTGATGTATATAAACCATCTTAAGATAATTATAGTGTTTCTATTTAAGAAGACAGGAGGTATATATGACTCTTAGCCACATTGGTACTCAGTGCTTACATGCTTAGGTGTACTTGTGTACCTAAGGGCTTCTCCTTCAAACCAGTTTATATACTGTGTATTTTAACTGTGGTTGAAATTTAGATTTAACAGATGATTTGATATCCTATATGTAAATACACTATTTGATTTATATACAGAACTACTACCTAGTGGGAAAGGTTAACCTGAGACTTATCAGTATGATTAATATTACAGGTTATTAGTAAGCTTTCTCTGTAGCATAAATGTGATACCCCCTTTTCATATCATTTTGACTCCTGGGATCTTGATATTTTCTAGTTTACACAGATTTCTTTTTTAAGTTGATTTCATTTTCAGTTATAGTTCACTTAGTGTAAAAAAAAAGAATCCATCTCAAAAGCAACAATACAATTTCACACACATGCCCACCCACACACCCACCCAGCACTCTCCAGAGACTCTACTTCCAGCTCTGGTGAACCTCGAATTCTGCCTCCTGCCTGGTCATTAGTAACTTGCTTTGTTGTTTTGGTGTTTTAGTTTGAGGTAACATTGATTTATATCAGTGGCTCTCAACAGTGTGTGGGTCCTGTTCTCTTTGGCAAACCTTTATCTCCAAAAAATTTACATTGTAATTTAGTTATGAAGTTAAAAATGAAAATAATTTTATGGTTGGGACATCACCACAAGATGACTAACTGTATTAAAGAGTGGCAGCATTAGGAAGGCTGAGAACCACTGTCTTATGTTATGTGACACCATTTTTACTATCATCTGTTACAGTTCTAATTACTTTTTTAATTTTTTTTTTTTAATTTTACCTTCTGGCTATTTTCAGTTAAAATGTGTTACTTTTTTTTTTGTTAAAAAAAAAAAAAAAGACTGTTCCATGTAGCTCAGGCCAGCTTTGAACTCAATATAGATGAGGCTAGCTTTGAACTCTTGATCTTCCTGCTTCTACCTCCCAGTTGTGGGCTACTACAGCTAGTTAGTTACTATTTTTCCTATATAATTTTTTAAAGGAAATAGTTTAATTTTTTTGGTACTTGTTATGTCTCTTGCTCCCTTACTACTCTAGCTAGTTCTCCTTCATTTGTGCCTATTTTCTCTTATTGTGATCAAACACATTCATTAAACAACTTTGGGTGTTTTTGAGACAGTATCTTTTGTAGCTAGGGCTGGCTTTGAACTCCTGATTCTCTTGCCTCTATTTGCCAAATGCTGGTATTAACGTGTATGCCACCATACCTAATTACATTGGGTTTACTTTTAAGAATGTCTTTCATTTTTCAGCTTGAAGTAACTCTTCAGGTTTGTTCAATCATATTATTTCACTGTTGTATTTGTTGATCTTGGCCATTTTCATTGATTTGTCATTTCTTAGTACCTTTTCACATGTAGGGGGAGTACATTTCTGGAGCTCTTCTATATCATACTCAGTGTATAGCTGGGTATAGCATTCTAGACTGGCACTATTTATATGTATAAAGGCACTGGCCCATTTTCCTCATGTTGAGAAATGACAGTTGTTTTGATGAGTATTTGTCTATTCTTTGCCCCAGATCTTTTTGTTGCATCTTTATTATGGGTATTGACTGTGCAGAGTACTCTGGATTTTCTTGTGTGCATACTCAAATTTTTCCTGTGTTTTAAAAAAACAGAGTTGTGCTGGAGATGGCTCAGTGTTTAAGAGCGCTGACTGCTTTTTGCAGAAGTCCTGAGTTCAATTCCAGCAACCACATGGTGGCTCACAACCATCTGTAATGAGATCCAATACTTTTATGGCGTGTCTAAGAGAGCGACAGTGTATTCATATACATAAAATAAATAAATTTTAGAAAAAAAGTTATATGTAGATTCCTCCAACTCTCTTTCTAATAAGGCTAATTAAAACTTTCAAATTGTAGGCAACATGGTATGACACTTTAAATACTTAATTTTCTGTGTTTGGGTGTTTTGCCTACATATATGTGTGTGTATCATGTTCATTCCTGGTATCCACAGAATTCAGAGGAAGGCATCAGATTCCTGGAACTGGAGTTATAGACCGTTCTGGGTTGCCATGTGGGTGCTGGGAATTGAACAACTTTTTGGAAGAACAGCCATTGGTTTTAACTGTTGAATTAACTCCTCGTCCATGATAAAGTTATTTGAGTGTGGGGCTTTCTGAGTCAGTTTTCTGTAAGTTTCTTAGTCACTCTTCTTTCTTCCACCTTTTGGGAGATTTCTTTAGCTGTATTTGTGGTCTTGCTCTGTTTTCCCTCCCTCCCTCCCTGTCTGTCTGCCTTTCTCCCCACTTCCTCTTCCCTCCTTTTCCCTTTTGTGTGTTGTGCATGGTTTAAGCCCAGGGCCCTGTCCATGCTAGCTAAGCACTCTTATCAGTGAGCAACATCTCTTAATTTCAACCATATTTTCAAACGCTGTTTTTTCTTTTCTGCTTCCATATTTCTAAAGTCTCAAGAACTCTTTTGACTGTTCCATTGTTTTGCTGCCTTTTCAATTAAAGACTTTTCCAAATTCTTGCCTGCCTGCTTTTTTAAGACTGGTTGGTCGAAAGGGTTATGGAGAATGTGTGCTTATACTTTTCAATGTACTATGATCAGGATGGGCTGGCACACTGAGTTGTTGATATTGGTGTTAGATTTCCTTTTTCTTCCATAATAAGATGTGTTAAATTTCCTTTTTTCCTTTGCACATAAGATTCAGGTTTCAGTCCTTATTCGAGGATATTGGCCAGGCTGTCACCTTTCTAGATTAAAGTAGAGAAGGAAAACATACAGGCTCCACTCTCAGTACATGTACTTAAGTTTAATTGCTATTTTCAGGATAGCCACACCTTTTACTGTGTCTACTTTATAGTTTAGCTATCATCTACTATCTCCGACCTTATTAGTACCTTTGAGGAAGAGCTCTTCCTTGACTATACAACAGGAAGTGCTTAGAGATGTCTGCTCCGCAGGCAGTCTTGTGACTGCCTCATTTTGACCTCCATCTTCCTGGTTGCCTGGTGTCCTCATTTCAGTTTGAATCTTGTGGGCTTCCCTCGATGCAAGGCAAGTCACTTTGCTATACCGTCATCTGTGTCTCTGGGATTAATCATTTTGCATTTGTTACCTTTTATCTTCAGTAGGCTTTCAGTTTTCCCAAAATTTCTCATACTCAGAAAGGAATAGAGGCTTTTGTGTGCCCCCTCCTTCCTTTAAAGACAGTCTTGTGTAGCCTAGGTTGGATTCAAACTTAGGGTAGTTTTGAATTCCTGATCTTTCTCCATCTCTCTCCAAAGTGCTGTGATTACAGGCAAGTGTTATGACTCCTGTCTTACTACTATTCCTTTGTTACTCTTTTTAGGGAGTTTTATCATGAGTCCTCCTATCCTCCACCCCTCTTCAATTTGTTTAGTTACTCTTGTGTCTGAACAGATTAAAAGAAATCTGTTCAGAACACATTTAAAAGATTTCTTTTAATCTGTTTAGACATATTTCATATATTTTTAAAGATTTATTTCATATATTTAAGTACATTTTAGCTGTCTTCAAACATACCAGAAGAGGACATCTGATCTCATTACAGATGGTTGTGAGCCACCATGTGGTTGCTGGGAACTGAACTCAGGACCTCTGGAAGAACAGTCAGTGTTCCTAAACTCTGAGCCATCTCTCCAGCCCCCATATTAAGTTTTTGTTTTTGTTATTTTTTGTTTATTTTTGTTTTTTTTCCGAGGCAGGGTTTCTCTGTGTAGCCCTGGCTGTCCTGGAACTCACTCTGTAGACCAGGCTGGCCTCGAACATATTAAGTTTTTTGAGACAGTATTTCATTTATTCCAAGTTGTCTTTGAACTTGCTATATAACTAGTGTGAACCTGAAATGATCTTCCAACATTTGCCTCCCTAGTTGTCATACACACACACACACACACACACACACAAATACAAATCTCCAAGTCAGAACTCTTGATACTATGTCTCTTCCAGGAGATAAGACATTGATTCCATTTAAGACTAGAGGAACCTCATGGGTCTTTCTATTTGTTGATTTCAGAATATACACAGGAAATCCCAAAGAAATGGAAATAATCTGACAGCTTGTTTGTAATCACATGAATCCTAAACTGATGTCATGGTTTAAAAGGTTTATTTCCAGGTTGTTTCACCCTTCACGTGACAGATTTCATGGAGATGTAGCTCAGCGGCAAAGCACTTGTCTAGCCAGCACATGGTTTCAATGTTTCCTTACTTTTTGTATCCCAAGTCTTTTTTCTTAGAATTGACACTTCTCTCTTTATTATGGGCCCTTTTCATGTTTGGCAAGCATTCTACCATTATGCCATAAGTCTAGCCTAGTAACATACTGATTGTGCTTCCCAACCCATCTATTCTATTTTTAGATAAGATCATACACACACACACACACACACACACACACACACACACACCCTTGGCTCAGGTTGACCAACCTGAAGCAGTTCCCCTGCCTCAGCCTCCCTAGGCTGAGATTATAGGTAAGTCACCATGAAGTGTACTTTGCTGTTTTTGTTTGAAAGCATCTTGGTTGGGCATCTCCTGCTTCATCTCTATAGTGTGATGGCCCACCATGCTTGTTTAAGAATAAGAAAGCTAGTACAGGCAAATAGTCTAAAAAAAAAAAAAAGATTAAACTGGTTTTGGAGCCTGTGCAGGCAAAATTGGTGACCTTCACTGGGCTGCCCTGTTCCCTCTCACATCCGCGGCGATGTGGGCTTTTTTTCCCCTTCGTTTTTTTCCTAAGACTAACCCTGTATAACTCAATTTGCCCTGAACTCACGATTTTCTTGCTTACGCTAACCAAATTCTAAGTCTACAGACATGCACCACCACACTTGCTTTCCTTCAAAAAAAAAAAAAATTTTTTTTTTTTTTTCAGAATTAATTCCAACAGCAGTTGCTAGCTTCTCAGTTCGAATACTAAGGGGGGCACACGTGAGAGTTTACAGAGCACTCTGTAGCGCTTAGTTTGAGCCGCATAAACCCTTCCTTCCAAGGGCTCCGAGGTCACGAGCAGGTCGGTTGACATAGTTAGCGGTGCAGTCTTTGCAGGCTGAGCGGCAAGGAACCCGGGTCCTTGACCTGGGCCCAACTGATGCACAGTCTGGATGGAGGCTTCGATGCCTCTCTGGAGCAACGCAAGGCGTAGCACACGCCCGATGCCATTTCATCTGGGACTTAGAGATCAGTTCTCCCCAAAGCAGTCGTCAATACCAAATCTCATCAGCCCGTGTCTTACTACGGCCACATAGGAACTCCAGCCAGTCCTTGGAGGGACCCTGGCTGGGTCACTCTCTGCTGAGCCCGGGATAGGACAACGCGCGCCGGCCCGCTTTACGGCAAAGGTGTGCGCTTTTGCGACGGCATGACGCAATCAGGTTTTGGCGGGAAAAGCTGTGCACTTGGATCCCTGTGGCAGCTGGCAAAGGACTTCTTGGTGAGAAGGGCGACCTGGACGGTGGGAAAGAACTCCAGCCGAGGACCCAGAGGGCTTGATTAGTGTGGAGGGGCACGGTGAGGGACTGGTCCAGACGAGCGGAGGGGTGGGAGGGTCGCCCGGAGCGCGGGGCTGGAGCCGGTGGCCCGCGGGCTCTCCGGCGTAATGGGACCGGAGCGATCGTAAGGCTCCGGGAATCGCGTGCCTTTCCGGCTCTAGGGGTCCCTGCCTTCCTCTTCTCTCCGCGGCTTGGCCCCGCCCCGTCCCCTCCCGGGGCCGGGGACACGTGCCGTTGGGGTGGGAATTGGAAGTGAGCGGGTGGGAGGAGGGGCTGCCCTGGCAGTAATTACCGTAGTTACACCCAGCTGCCCCCCCCAACCCCCCACCCCGACCCCCGCACCCTGCCCTGCCCGCAACGCCCATTCCCGGTCATTCACCCGAAAGCTTTTGTCTTCCAACCTGGGAGCCAAGCAAGTTTTCAGTTTTGCATAAAGGCGGAGGGGGACAATCGTGGAAACAGGATTTATGATACACGGGACAAAACGTTTAAATTTAGTGTTAACGACTTGGGTAACTATGGATCAGATGTAAGGGAAAAATAAAGCCTTGCGGAATCATGGCAGGAGACGTGACTCAATGGCATTACAGGTGATGAGAGTTTTTCTGGGATCCCGCATTTTACAGTCGCTGTGCCTGGAGTCATGGCAGTGCCTTTTGTGGAAGACTGGGATTTGGTGCAGACTTTGGGAGAAGGTGCCTATGGAGAGTAAGTTTGAGGCCTCGTTTTAATTTTTTATTGCTGTGTGTGTGTTCGTTCGTGTGTGTGTTCTGGCATGGTGCATGCATGGTCAGAATACAACTTGCAGGAGTTGGTTCCGCCGAAGGTTCAGAGGACTGAACTCAGATCAGGCCTGACAAGAAAGCCGCTTCACCTGCCTATAGCCATCTCCATGTTCTCCCTAATTTAAACATTACCTGTTTGCTTGCTTCAATTTTCCATCTGAGTACACACTTAAAAAAAATCCTTAGCCGGGCGGTGGTGGCGCACGCCTTTAATCCCAGCACTTGGGAGGCAGAGGCAGGTGAATTTCTGAGTTCGAGGCCAGCCTGGTCTACAGAGTGAGTTCCAGGACAGCCAGGGCTACACAGAGAAACCCTGTCTCGAAAAACCAAAAAAAAAAAAAAAAAAAAAAAAAAAAAAAAAAAAATCCTTTATTTCAAGTGGCACAGAGTATAAATATTCGCATTTGTAAATCAAGACTCTGAGTGAGTGAAGTTAGGTGTCTACACCTGTTCCTCCTCTTTTTCGATAGTGGGCCTTGAACCTGAGCCAACCCCTCCTCCCCCTAGTTTTGTTTGTAGAGAGAGTGTCTCATTGGCCTCAAACTCCAAGACCTCTGCTTGCCTCTGCTTCTCAAGTGCTGAGGTCAAAGACATGTGCCACCACTCCCTGCTAGGGTTTTGTTTGTTTTTCTTTGAAAGTTTCTTTGTAGTCCAGGCTAGGCTTGAACTTGGACCCTTTTGTCTCTAGAAGGCTGGGATTACAGGCGTGTGTTGTTGGACCTGAAAGTCTCAACTCCGGGACACGAAGTGTACAGAGACTTGGAGATTGATGCAAACAGCAAGAGGAATTTTTATCCTGACTCGTCAGAGTCACTTCACTCTCGAAGGAGGAAGGACCCCAAATTTCTGAAGCACACACCTTTTATACTTTAGCATACACCAAAACTTGTCTAAACCTAATTGGACACTTTGCTTAGCCTTTAAACTTATTGGCCACACTCACTCAGGCAATTATTTCTGGTGGGCTATGTTTATCCAGGGCTGTGAAGGACACAGCTGGTTACTGGTTACTAGTTAGTACATTCTGTGGTTTTTCTCCAAATTGTTTTTTTTTTAACTTTCTCCCTGTTATCATGAACAGCCTGACCAGCGGGGTGATTGTGTCTTCAATTTGTCCTTGGTCTCAAAGTATCACTAATCTTTTAAAGATTTAGGAGAAATGGAATTCCGAGGTGAAAAATGTAACTTTCTTTCTCTCTCTCTCTTTAAGAGTTCAGCTTGCCGTGAACAGAATAACCGAAGAAGCCGTTGCAGTGAAAATTGTAGACATGAAACGGGCCATAGACTGTCCAGAAAATATTAAGAAAGAGATCTGCATCAATAAGATGTTAAATCATGAGAATGTAGTGAAATTCTACGGCCACAGGAGGGAAGGCACTATCCAGTATCTCTTTCTGGAGTACTGTAGTGGAGGAGAACTCTTTGATAGAATAGGTACGGAAAAGATAATGGAAAAGATAATTATTTTACTGAACAAGTTTATACGTTGTGTGTGTTGCTGGAGATTAAACCCACCCACAGTCTTCCTACATGCCCTTCAACTGGCTTACTAAACGACGTTTTCAGCTGTGTTTTTTGGTTTTTAGAGAAAAGGTTCCTCCTGGTAACCCTGGCTGTCCTGGAACACACCTGTAGACCAGGCTGACCTTGAACTCATAGATTTATCTGCCTTTGCTTCCTGAGTGCTGGGATCAAAGGTGTGCATCATCACCACCCAACGATCTCAGCTGCATTTTTTTGTTTTGTTTTGTGGTTTTTTTGTTTTGTTTCGTGTTTTTTTTTTTGTTTTTTTTTTTTTTTTGAAATAGGGTTTCTCTGTGTAGTCCTGGCTGTCCTGGAACTCACTCTGTAGACCAGGCTGGCCTCGAACTCAGAAATCCACCTGCCTCTGCCTCCGAGACATGCTTTTTAAAAAGGAAAAAAAAAAAAGAAAAGAAAGACAAGGAAGGCATTGCCAAGAGTGGAAGTGAGCCTGAAAGTTGGGGAAGGTCCTGGTCTCAAAGCCTATTCTTTATATTCTGCGTACCACGCACATGCCTGGTGCCTGTGGAGGCATGTCTGATGCTATAAGAGGCCTGAAGAGGGCACTGGATCCCCTGGAGCTGACAAGAGGGTTGTGAGTCATATGGGTGCTGAGAGTCCAATCCTGATCTTCTGGAAGAGCAGCCAGTGCTCGTTAACTGCTGAGCCGTCTTTCCAGCCCCTCCAGCCCCGAACTTTGTGCTTAGAAGAAGTAGGGAGACATTTGAAGGAAATGAAGTCCGTTGGGGTTAGTATAAGATTAAAATTCTTTGATACTTTTAAATTATTTTCCCGTGATGTTAGCTTGTTTTTACTATTTAGCATCTAGGAAGATGTGAGTTATTTAGTGATGTATTTAATGGACTTCAGTCTTTTGATAGCATAAGTTTCTGTTTGCTTAAGTACAAACGTAGTGAGATATGAATTAGGAGCCTATCTGGTCGATGCCTAATTATAATCTTTCAGTCGACTATCAATAATTATTTCTTACAGAGCCAGACATAGGGATGCCTGAACAAGATGCTCAGAGGTTTTTCCACCAACTCATGGCAGGGGTGGTAGGTACTACAGCCTCTTTTACCTTGCTTAAAATTAGCATCAATAATGTGAGTTGCTAAATGTTACTATTTTGACCTCCCACTTAGGTTTATCTTCATGGAATTGGAATAACTCACAGGGATATTAAACCAGAAAACCTCCTATTGGATGAAAGGGGTAAGATTAATATTTTGTTAATTCTATCTATCTTTCTTTCTCTCTTTCTTTCTTTCTTTCTTTCTTTCTTTCTTTCTTTCTTTCTATCATCTATCTATCTATCTATCTATCTATCTATCTATCTATCTATCTATCTAATGCATGGGTGCTCTGCATGTATACCTGCCTGCCAGAAGAGGGCATCAGATCCCATTACAGATGGTCGTGAACCACTATGTGGTTGCTGGGAACTGGACTCAGTACCTCTGGAAGAGCTCTTAACTGCTGAATCATTTTCCAGCCCTTGTTAATGTTGGTTTGGTCTTATTGTTGTCTTGTTTTTCCTATTTTTTAAAAAGCAAATTGTGAATGTGATTCCCGCTCCCCTCCCCCCGAGTTTGTTGTGCATGTATAGAAAGGCTACTAGTTTTTGCTTATTGATTTTGTATCTTCCTACCTGTCTTAGTTAGGGTTTTACTGCTGTGAACAGACACCATGACCAAGGCAACTCTTATAAGGACAACATTTAATTGGGGCTCACAGGTTCAGAGGTTCAGTCCATTATCATCAAGGCCAAGCATATTCAAACCATGATGTTACCCTTCTGAAATACTTACCAGATCTAAGAATTTTCTGCTAGAGGGCTTAGAGTATGTATAAGATAATGCCATCTAGATTAAATAGATTAATATGACTTCTTCCTTTCTTATTAGTATCTTCTTTATTTCACTTCTCTGTTTTGTATATGTCTTATTATTTTTTGAGATTACAATTACATAACTTTTCCATCACGTGCACACAGTGCTGGTGAGACCAAAAGGGGAAGGTATTGAGACCTCTCAGAGCTGGAGTTATAGATAGTTGTTAGCCACCATGTGGGTGCTGGGATTTGAACATGATTCTTTAGAAGAGCAGTTAGCACTCTTAACTACTGAACTGTCTCTCCAGCCCTGTCTTTTCTTCTTTTTAGAATGATTTATTTATTTTGTTTCTTTAAGACAGGGTTTCTCTGTGTATCCCTGGCTGTCTTGGAACTAGCTCTGTAAACCAGACTGGCCTCGAACTCAGAAATCCACCTGCCTCTGTCTCTCAAGTCTCTCAAGCCTCTCAAGTCTCTCTCTCTCTCTCTCTCTCTCT